CACTCTGTCTCTGGTGAAGCCTCTCACCGCCCCTGAGCCTCTGGCCTGTACCCCAGTTCTGTATGAATAAATAAATAAATCTTTAAAAAAAAAAACAAAAAAACTATATTCATATTCTTGATCCTAAAATCTTACTGGATGAAGAAAGCTTCATTTTGATACACTACTAAGAAAATGCTAGCTTTCTTTCTATAATTACAGGACTATGATTTCAGCCAAAGGACTACTTAGGTATCAGTGAGTAGATTTCCCACTCTAGTCATGAGGATCTGAAAATTATGAAATGACTACCACTTTGATTTGGATTTTGACCAAATTTCAACTTCAATCTTCATTCTTAAGTTATTACACAGCATTTGCCCATCTAAATTTAAATTTAAATTTTACTTGATTTAAATTAATAAAATGTCAGTACACTTCATTCATTGTAAGTGACACGTGAATAACCTACAAAAGCTGTCAGCTAACCATCAGAAAATGGAGCCAGCTTTCAAAGGGTCAACTGAACTCAATTTCATGCATATCAGCTCCCAGAACTCCTCACACAGGAAAAACTTTCAGAGAGCATGGCATGACACAAATTCAATCTTCAGGAGAAATGTAAAATTCCAAAGCTGAAATATTTTGAGTAATAAATGTTTTGATATAATTGTTTCAATGATTTGAAATATTTAATAGATTTTATTTCTCTTAAAATTATTTCTTCAAAGGCTTTTGAAATTTTCTATCATTGTTTAAACCCTAGAAATATAGGAAGATTTAATAGGTAAATTTGTAAGCTCCCTGGAAATAAAGATGTTAAGAATGCAGACCTATTTATACATCTTATTTTAAAATAGCAGGAAATGCTCTGAAGAGCTAAAAAACATGAATATACTTTGTATATTGGGTACAACAGTTTGACAAACCAAGTAGATAAAACTTAGAAGAATATCTACTTACCATCATAAAAAATAATAATGAATATCTACTCTACTTACATAATAAAAAATAATAATTATGAGCATTATTCACAAAATAGCATGTTTTTAACAAATTAATAGTTTTTTTAACCATGACTCAAGATGAAACATAGTTTTTCTGTGATTTAAACAAAATAACCTTTAAACTAATGTCTATTTTTTTTAAATGTCTTCTGACTTTTTGCTGAAAAGAGAAATAAAAACATTCCTCTTTGGAATTTACCTTGAATGATAAATTGTTCCATGTTTTCTTTGAAAGGTTGAATGTGATCTTTTGAGGATACCTGAAATACTTTTCCTGCTTCAACTTCACAGGCTGAAATCAGGGAGAGAGTATTGAGAATATAACACTGTTAATGTAGCATTACAAGAAATTTTACAGCCTTTTAACTAATGTTCAAATAACTAATCTGATATATAGTAAAGCAGTATGTAAGATAAAAAGTACAATTAAGAGATAAAAAAACTAATAAGGGAAGAAATAAAGTTTTTTTGCTTACATCTATGGTAAGAATACAGTTCATATGAGTATACCAAAAACCATATTAAAATTAAGAGAAAATTGGGCCCTCCCTGGTGGCGCAGCGGGTTAGAGCACAGCACTGAGAAGCTTAAGCCACTTCCGCATGAGTTTGATCCCCGCCTCCCCCGGAGGTGACCACAGGGCGCAGCAGACCTCTCCTGACCCGCCCGCTGCTCCCCTCAGCAGTGGACTTCATGGATCTGCCTGTTCTGCTCCCCGCTCTGTCTCTGGTGAAGCCTCTCGCCACCCCTGAGCCTCTGGCCTGTACCCCAGTTCTATATGAACAAATAAATAAATCTTAAAAAAAAAGAGAGAGAAAATTAACTTAAAATGTAAAATATTTTTAAAGGGAAAATACTACACCATGTACTTTCTTCTTAACTGTTGCATATTCTGTTGTTTTACATTTACTGAGTAAAAATGAAGACCTGAAGAAAAACTGGCAAAATTTAGAAGACACTTCTGTGCTTAATCTGTGAATAAACTCTGCTTTTCAACTAACAAGTCTTCGGTGAAGGCACCAGATCCATCAGACCACTAGAAAGCACTTGATACTAGGGTATTCTTACAACTTCCCAGACAAGCGTGGTGTGATGAAGGAAACAGTTAGTACTTTAAATTTCAAGCTACAAATAGCAAATGAAATACTGATAGCTAGTAATTAAAACATTAAGCTTCCTACTTTAAAGTTTTGAAAGCTGGGTCACGTGGAGACTGGGTTATTTTTATTCAAGTTGGCCTAGCTTGGACACTGGGCTATATACAGGATTTTACTTTTCTTATTGAGACTGAAAAACTAATAAAGAACATACAGTTTATCAGAAGGAAACTTGGGACAACATTTTGTGTTAGGGGCTCTTTCATGTTACTGGCGGAGCCACGGTGCCTAGAACAATATGCAACAGGCAGTCATTCAGTAACTGTGTGCAAACAGATAGACGAGCAATTGGGAACTACTGAAAGAACTCTTCCATTGATTTTCCCAGAAGTAATTCACTGAATATGGACAGATAAACTTTTATCCCATTTTCTTTAAATATTCTTTTCAGAATCCTAATTTATATATATATATATATATAATTAGAAAAGTCCTGAAGTTATCACATTATTAACTATATCCTTACTATATCCTTATATACCTGGGACATTAAACAATGCAAAACATTGGCTACATGGGGCTGTCAAACGTGATAAAGTCTAAAGGAGGCTGACAGTAAATCAGAACTGTCTTTTTCGTGCTGCTCTGACAGTAAGTCTCTATTTTCTAAATAGTAACTTAGTGATTTCTGAAGCGGTCCCCACCTCACAAAACAGGTTCCTATTTGGCTCCCTAAACATTAGTCCTCCCCTTTTCTTAGAACCAAAACCTCTCCCAATGTCTGCTGGTTTCGCTTCCTCCTCCTCGGGATCAACATGTAGGGAGCATATATCCTCTGGTCCCTGAGTGTAGTCTTGCAAACAGCTGTGACATACCGACTTAAACGTCTCTAAGCTAGGCTATACTTGATCTCATAAAAATAATCGCAGCAACATCCACTACATTTATGTCCTTTTTTATAGAACCCAAGTTTCCATTTCAGGGATTTTTCACCCATTCTGATTAATTCTGATTAAAGTTAAAGGCTGTTTTTTAAATTTATTTATAGTTTAATTTTCATATACTACTACTCTTTTTTGTACAATATTTAATTTCTCCCCTCCTGTGCAGTCCCCACAATTCTCCCATCACCACAGCACCCTTGACTATCACCATGGTCCTTTGTGCTCTTTCCTACTCTGTTTTCCTTGCTCTGCATCAAATCTATGGTTTGTCTGCATGTTTTATATCTCCTGCTCCTTTGTTTGGTTTCTGTATACTTCCCTATGAGACCATCCAATATTTTTTCCTTTTCCTTCTGACTGCTCTAAGCATAATCCCCTCCAGCTCCACCCATATTGCTTCAAATGGCATGCATTTGTCTTTGTTGACAGCTGAGTAGTATTCCACTGCATATACATAATGCATCTCTTGATTCAATCATCTTTTGGGGGCATTTAGATTTTCTCTGTCATAAATATAGTAAAATGTGCTACAATAAATATAGGATAGGAGGTTTCCCTTTGAATTAGGAAGATAAATTCCCAGAGGTGGAATATCTGGATCATATCGTAGACCCATTTTTACTGCTTTAAGGATCCTCCACAGACTTTCCATAGTGGCTGGACCACTTTGCATTCCCACCAGTTGTGTAAGAGGGTTCCTTTTTCTCCACTCCTTGCCAGCACTTGTTGCCACTTTTTTAAATATGGGTCATTCTCACCGGTGTGAGGTGGTATCTCACTGTGGATTTTCATTTCCCTGATTATACGTGATGTTGAAGCTTTTCCATATAACCCACCTGAATTTCTGCTTTTGAAAAGTATTTTAGCTTTTCAGCCTATTTTTAGACTGGGCTGTTTGCTTTGTTTTAGTTGAGTTGTGTAAGCTCTTTGTAGACCTTTGATTTCAGTCCCTGAATTACTATAGAGGAATTGAAGAGTTAGCGAGACCTAGATTGTAGAAGGTGCTAAACTTCCTAACTGTTCTACTCATGATATAGGTGTGAAGGTAGAGGTTTCATTGAAGTGGTTTAGGTAATTGGAAAGATCTTATCTGGATGGTTTTTGAGGCTGGGAAAACGAACCTGGGTGTGTGGATGACTGGAGATAGGCGGTTTGGTTAAGATCTTTTAACAGTAATGTAGGTAAGAATGATAAAGACATTTATACAAGATTAGAACATTTAGGAGTTGAAATCAACAGGATTTTCAGATTTGAGAAGGAAGTCCAAAATACTCTCCTGCTGTGGGTTGAGTTATTTAAAGTATAAGGTGGCACCACCAACAGAAAAGACTGGAGTAGTGGAGTTAACAAGTCTAGGAGAGGCCCTGATATATTCTGTACTGAACATACTGCTTGATACCTGCAGAAATTTAATAAACGTGGGTCTGAAAGTATTAGATACCTAGGGGAGAATGTGGATTGGACAGTCACCTGTATATGAGCGATGGTTTAGGTAGAGAATGAGGAGAACAAGGAAAATGGGCAGAGAAGCCAGGTGTGTTCAACTGGACATAAAATTTACTAGAGCAAATTTTCATTTAGATTGGATGGAGAGAATATATGTAAATAACAAAACTTTCTTTATTGCCTGGCTGAGACAAGTCAATACTCTTGAGGAAAAGGGACAAACAGAGTTTTTAAGAGAAGGAAAATATTTTAAAGAGGGAAATTACAAACTTCCTATAAAGAATAGGCACACATGTATGAGTTCTAGGCACACATGTATGAGTTCGAGTGAGGGTTGGTTTTCCTGAATTGGACATGTATTTCTTTCAGATAGGCACTCCAAACTTACATCATTTAGGTTCAGGTTTCTCACAATCAGTATAATAGTAGAAATTCTTCTGAAATTTCTTAGAAGTGTGTCTTAATCCAAATGGGATCAGTTATTTACTATGTATTTGTGGAGGCACGTACACAGAAATAATGTAAACCTTGGAGTGAGATCAAATTTCTATTAAGTATCTGCTAATGATAATAATAATAATTAATAATAATAATCTCTGATCCCTTGAGTACATTAGTGTCCTCTTCTAGTCTTAATATCAAAAATTATAAAATGAAATAATAAAATTCACTTGAATTATTCTAAAGGTTTTTAAATAATAGATTAAAAAACAACTGTCATTGTAATTCTCCATAATTACTGCCTGCTTTAGAAACACCATCATTCCAGTTATCATTTATCATCTGGAAATTTGAGACTTCAGGAATAAATTTGTGATAGAAGTCAGCTGATAACAGCAATAAAGAGGAGAACTGTTCTGCTCACCTCTGTGTGTCCACTGTGTGAAGTACAAAGGAAACGCTAGAACATTTTATGGAAAGAGGTAGTTTTAACTATACCATGATGCATGAGTTCCCTTAATCTGAATATCCAAGAGGACTTGCTTATACTGCTCTACAAGTTTTATACAAAGTGTACCAAAAGGCAAATCCAAATTCCAAAAGCTCTTCATTGTGATAGAGGATAGTCTGCTAAATTGTATTGTACACAGTTGCAGCTTTACTTATTTCTCTAAATTTTAAAATATTTTTGAGGTAGCATTGGTTTATAGTACTGTGTTTTAGGGGTGTAAGTTCACACCTTTACAAATAATTGTCACTACAACATATTCACCATCAAAACATTGATGATCTTCCCTCATAGCCCCCTGGGCCACCTCCAAGCTTGACTTACTTCAAAAACATTGAAATGTCCGTCGTCCACTGTTTTTAAAAAGCAGACAAAAATCATGAATTACTTTCAAAGTATGAGTTACCTTTCAAGTCTTTCTGCAGTTTTCGGAGATCTTTCTGAAAATCTTCAAACTTCATCTGTGAAGCTTGAAAAAGGTCTTGGGGTTCTGGTAGAGGAAAGATACACTGTTCTTTCCCAGCATCCTAATAAACAAAAACATAATTTTGAACAAATCAGCATCAATATGCATAATATTAATAAAACAGCAGTATCGATAAAACACCATTAACAAACAAGCAAGTCCCATAAGAATAAATGTGAAAAATTACTATGTATAAAAATTGTCTTACCTCTTCAAAATTTCGAAGATAATAGGAAACAATATATGACAAAAGACTTCTGCTGTTGTCCTAGACAGAAAAAAAACGAAGTTAAGTAATTTTAAATATTACTCATATATGATTAAATAAGCAAATTCCAGCCAATACGCCGTATTTATTAATGAGAATGCAGTGAATATAAGAGGAAATTCTACATTTGAAATTATATCTGTCATTTTTTTTTTAAAAATGTATTTGTTTATGCATACAAGAACTGAAGTACAGGCCAGAGGTGTGCGGGGGTCGTGACAGGTGGAAGACAGAACAGGCGGATCTACTGAAACCCACTGCTGAGGGAAGCAGTGAGCCAGAAGGGGTCTGCTGTGCCATGTGGGCCAGCTCCCTGGCCGCGGACGGTAGAGGTGACAGTGCTGAGACGTGACCCTTAGGCCAGCAGGGAGGTCCCTGGAGAGTTTTCTTTACATGAGGGATATAGAGAAACAAAACAAAACTGACAATAGCTCTGAGGTGTCCAGAATGGGAGAGGTTTGTGGAAGGGTCAAGACAGGGGAAGGAACAGAACAAGGGACTATTAGAAGTATTAGGTTTAAGACGGTGGGTGTATATGGGGGAAAGCTCACACATTGTCCAAAAATTAATAACGATGTAACAAAATAATAATAATAATATTTATGTAAATTTAACTGATGAGAGTAAGAAATTTTTACATAGGACTGAGTTGTAAGCAACAAAAGTCCACTGAGTGGGCTTTGAAGATGAACATAATTTTAGTGCATTTGTTTTTGCTTGAAATGTTTTTTTTTAATTCAAGGAAAATTATTTTTTAGCTACCAGTAACCAGCTATGTTAAATTTTGGTTTTTATGGGTAGAAGCAAATTATATTTACATTTTTCCATCTATTCCAATATCATCATAAGTTGTAAAAATGGTAATGAGTGTTCTTATTACTTATGACATTGTCTGTAATAAGGGAATTTATTTGTCTCTCCTCAAGACTACAGAACTGTAAATATCATTCATTAATGAAGGGCTCATTGGAATGTATTCTGGGAGTTAAAATTTAGCAGAACCAAGAAGAGAACCGGTTATTTTGCCTGTAGGGTTCCAGAATATTACAAATAGGTGGCACAGGTTCCCCATTTGGGCTGGAGAAACCAGAAAGGAAAGTCTTGAGAACATCAAGAAAAGAAATCTCTGGTGGAATATAAACTTCACTGTGACCTGATTCCTGAAATCTGTACAGGTCAAATGCTGAGAGTTCAATATAATATTCCCTCTACAAAGTTCCAACAAAGTGAAAAAGTTCTGCTTTGTTATTCTGTCCTTTCAGCTTATTTAAAAATGGATCAAGTGGATGGAAATTAGATTTAATTTATAAAAGCATTCTGCTGTATTATCTCATAGAACTGGGATAAAGGTAAAGAAAAATTATTTCTCTTAATCATTTTTGAGATTTTTCTTGATTTTTTGACTAAATTTTTCTGTGATTTGTTTGCAATTTGTTGACTAAAATTTGTAGCCTTTTTTTTTTAACTTGAACCATTTTCTAGGAATGGAAAGAGGATTTTGCCATGGATAAAACAGTTATTTTTACTACAAAATGTCATCCTCTCAATTATTCATGAGAATTATTCATTGTCAATTATTCATTGATTTGAAATTACCCTAGGAAACATCATAATTCATTAAATCACAAATATACCAATACTATTACTTTTATTTAGTTCAGAACATGAAAAAAACTCAATCTTGGAACATCAATTACTATTGCAGGTTTGCTTTCACCCTTGTTCCTAAACAAAATGTCTAATTCTCATTTCACATAACATCATTCATACAAAACACTTACACTGCTTTTGACATCCTTCAGTTTTGGAAGAATGTCCAATCCGAAGCCATCAGCCTGTCCACGAGTCTTATTTCCACCATTCATGTAGTTGCCAAAGGCAAGAACCAAACCCAGAACCTGCATAACCCCAGGGCCATTTTTTAATGTCTGTAAAAACGAATAAGGAAAAATTTCTCTTGTGCAAATTTTGTTTGAATTATCTTAAATCAATTGCAGATATTTATTTTATACTCGTACTTACAGGTTACTTTATCATTATTCATTATTATCATGTCAGTCCCTTGTCCAGTCTCCACCCCCCAAAAAAAGTGTCAGATATTTTCTCAATAGGTCTGGAGTAGGACTCCTGTCACCTTGGTATGGGAACCAGCCATCATCCAAGACCCTCTGCACCTCTTGAGGGCTCTCTGCTTTACTTACATAATGCAAATTGTAAATTGCTTTTCATGAAAGTCATCAGGACCCTGAGGCTAAGAGAAATATGTGTTCTTGCCCCAATCTTTTTGCACCTCCATAGTAAAAGATGAATTTGACCTAAACTTCTGCCCTTTTCCATCCAAAGAAGCAATCACTGCCTTCCCTCTTATGATCCAGAGAAATATAGCTTGGGGTCTCATCCAGATGTAGGTTTGTCAGTGAACATTTTGTCAGTGTGAGAATCTAAGACTCTCATTGTACTTGCAGGGTAGGGTCCAACACCCCTACTTGTCTGCCATGTTAAGTCTCCTCCTCTCCGTCCTTGATGTCCCAAATCTTAAATCTGAAATAAATATTTCAGCTCAGCTACATCACACTGCAATGGAGGGCTCTCCATGCAAAGGGGAGGTTCTATGTGTCCCACCCCACCTGTGAGGGATGCAAATGAGCAAACACGTGAAGCTACAGAAGACTTGAAGAAGCAGGAAGAAAGATACATTGAGCAGAGAGAAAAAAGAAGTCCTGCTTGCTCCTTGGCTTTGACTTGCACCAGGGATTTGAGGTACTTGGAAGTAAATATGTGGAGTTGAGAGCTATACAGAAACTGGGGAGAGATACAAGGGTGAGAGAAATGAGTGTCTCTCAAATACAAGTATTTGCCTCGACATTCATGACAAGGGAATGGTTAGCTCTGGGTGTTTCACTGGTAAACTACTGTTATTTTTTCCCTCCTTTCTCTCTATGTGCATGAGTTCTTTCACAGTAAGAGTATGCTTTGTCTTTATGAGACAGCAAAATCTCTTTAGAGAATGGTATGCAAACTGGGGGTCCCTCGGGTCCCCCCAATCTGCCCACTAACAATGTTTAAAATTTACAACTATTTGAATTCTATCTATGTTATTAAATTGTGTTTCCTTTCCTAGTCTGTCTGATGCTGTGTTGATCACTTACACCCTGAGATCTTTTGCACCCCAACAGTATAATTAAATCACATTATTTCCAAAGCTACTGAACAAGCATCAGATATGCATACTAACCTAAGACGAGAGATACAACCTAGTCTATTTCTATGGTGCCATAGCAAGAAAACCAAGTAAGACTATAGTAAGATTACTACACACTTATGTCATTTTCATCATCCTGATTATTATACCTACTTCTGGAGCAAAACAAAATGTTTGGCATAAATTGTGGTATAACAAAAGATAATTATAAAGATTAATATACATTTCAATTTATCGCTGAAAAATTCTTTCATTTATTCCAAAACATTAGGCATAACTTGAATTTGTCTGTCACTTTCTTTTAAATGTGACTTAAATAACATCTTACTATTCTTCAAAATGACTTACCACAACCAGAATGAAAGCTACTATTGACTTTTACCAATTTTTTTAAATGTTAATATTGTTAATTTCTGCCACACATATCTTTTGTTGTCATAAAAATATCCATGTCCTCTAGAGTTCCTAGTGATCACTTGGTTGGAATCATTAAGATCCTTCCTAAATGGAAAGGGGTAAATAAATGTCTTCAAATAACATTAGATAGGAAGTCTGGTATATGAAAATAAAAATTTTGCTATGGTAAAAGCAGAAGGTATAGAAGTTTCTGATAATTGCATGCATATGCTGAGGTGGCCATATCGTCCTTCTGGCCTATCTGAAGGAGAGCCTAGCTCTGATCTTGAAGCTCAATCATAGCTTGCTCTCTTTGCTGGCCTAAACAGCCTTCAAAGTTCACGAGCAATTAGAGTAAATAAAACTTTTTTTTGAAATATGAGCTTGACTGAGCACTACTAGATTTCATTCAATATCCAATCAGCTCTCATGGATGGGGACTCACCTCACATAATTTCTGCAGCAATTCCAGTTTGCGACGGATTGAGCAAATGCTTTCTGAAAATGTGGACTGGAACAGGATGCAAAAGACTCGCTCTGAAAAGTTGGGGATTAGTGACAGTTCATAAAGGAACCTAGGAAATAAAGCCAAGTTAAGAGGAAAAACATGTTTCATGTAAACAGATGTTTACCCTGCAGCATTTGTAACAATTACGTACAGAAGACCTTGCATTGTTCAAATGGGCAGAACCCAACCCGACCTGAAAGCCCCAATGGACCGTAATTCGTGTGTGCTTACTGCTCAGGTTTGTCCAGAGGCTTGGCATTTTCTTTGTCTTTAGAGGATCGGCCATGCTTTTCAATTTTTTCCAGTTCATCTGACTGTGCACGCTGGAAAAATAAAAGTAGATTGACTTTAGTTAGTTAGTTGAGTCCTTTAGATAATGAGAATCTTAATTCAGCAAAACTCAAAATTTTTATTTCTTAGCATTGATGCAGTAAAGTTTAAATCCATTTAAAACTTAAAAATTTTTAAAACATAAAATTTTAAATGTTTCTGCAAACCAGACCATTTACAAATCTTCCAAGTAACGCTATTGACTATTAGTGATTTACAAAACATTTAGTTACTGAAGCTTTAAAACAATGTAGTTTTCCTCTCTCTCTCTCTCTCTCTCTCTCTCTCTTTGGCTATTTAAAATACTTTCTGGAATGCAAGAATTTCATGTTAAAGTGGAATTTCTTAATTAGAAATCAATCAAGTCATATATGAAATAATTTTATTCTAATGCTGTTACAACACTTTTTAACTACTATAATCAATTATTTAGAAAATTTTGCTATTTGGGATAAAAATATAATTGAAATATTAAGTAATGAAATAAAAAATATACAAGGTTTTGAGTCTTCTGCTGAATTTTCTTTCTCATACAAAAATGACTCCAGGCTTTTTTTTCTTATTAAGTGTCTTCTTCCATACTTTATAATATCAGGCTAAAAATATTGTCATAAATTTATTTCTGTATAGGAGACAAACCTCTGCATTTTTACTATAAAGCAGTTTTTTATAAAGGTGAAGAAGCAAGTTCTTTATAATATTGTTGTTGGTAGTTCCAATTTTATAATTCACAGAGATTTCAAATAAGCCAAAATACTACACTTTCTCGTTGTATTAAAATGTGGCTGCAGATTAATATATCTTGAGTTTCAGTCTAGTACTCAGAATTTAAAATCCCTGCACCATTATTTTTTCATTGTTTAAACAGAAAAGCAATACAGCCAAGAATCTAACAGATTTCTAAAACTCTATGTATTCCATTTAACAAAACTATCTTGTTTTGTATTCACTTTTCTGAAGTGCAAGTTTTTTAGATGACAGGATAAACTAGCGAAACCTAGTTCCTTAAAAGAAGTTTCTGTCCACTTAGGAAGATGACTTAATGAATGATCAGAGAGGAAATTTTGAATATCTTGGATAGATCTCAAGAGAACTCACCAGCAAGACTAAATAACCATAACCTCTATAAGCAAATAGTGAAATACAAACCTCAACCTCAGTCTTTCATAATTACATCATAAAGTAAGATGAAAAAATACTTGAATCATCATAATTTATTTCATCATATTTCTACTGCCACTGTGTTAACTGTTTTAACGTTCATTTCCCAGGAATTCACTGGACATAGTTGATTTATCTAACAGAAGCAGAGCTATCAAAAAAATCAGTCAAGAATTTTATGATTTTGAAAACAATATCACATCCTCGATAAACAAGAAAGAAAGAAATTTCCTGATCTTTATTAAATATACAGAGTCAATCTGTAAGTGATTCGAAGTCTAAACCTTTGTTTTTAAAAATTCTGTAATTTACAATAAACATGTTTATAGTTTAGAATGAGTATACTTGCAAGGATTCCATAAGACAACTCGATAGGACAATGAAACATGAGAGCATGTTTTAAAAACAGCTTCATGGAAAAAGTCAGTATTTCTTTCACTTTTGTTGGAAGAAACTAATGATTAAATGTTACTTAAAATGGAATTAAATATCTATAGGTAGTTATGGGAACATAGATAATTAATTCGAACTGTTTCATTAATTTAATCTGGGTATATACACTTCTGAGGATGCTCTATCATATAATATGTGTCAAATCCTTCTTCCAGGTTAAAGTTTATAGTATGTCAACTACTAGCCTACGTAAAGATTATTCAAACTAAGATGAATGAATGCCTATGACATTAAAACCAGAGAAGTATAAATTTAAACCTTCCATTCTTTCTAGCCTATCAGCCTTTCCCCCTGCTAAGTGTATTACAGCTACTTAATTACAAAAGGGTGTTGAAAAATTTTCTCTTCCCAAGTTTTTTCTTAATATTATATTATTTTATGAAACATTTAATAGGATTCATTTCCAGAGTTTTGCTTTGTCTTAATGTTTAAGTTTTTTTCTTGAATATGAAATAAAGGTAAAATTGAACACTTACCTGAAGAAGAAAATTCAGCTGAGAGTTATGCATGAACCTTTTTATATATCACTTCTGACAAGAAGTTAATCATTCAACATGCTAAAGAAAACATGAGGAATCTTCCTCAATTATTCTTCCAATCCCTACCTCAAAGTCACTTCCCACACATTGTAAACAATCACCATGCCACAGAAGCATAATGAGAATCAGAAGCAATAGATATATTTAACCAACTGTAACTATTTTATAATAATTATGGTGAAACTTCACTCTCCTAATTTAAAGATAATCAATAATTCTACATAAAGATTTTGCTTTTAAAAACTCAGTAGGATATACTGTATTTAGTATGTATGTGGTTTCACTAGGTTTTAATTCCTCAGTAAACAGGAATTGGGCCCTCAGGGTTGTGGTTTTTTAAATTTGAGTGTGTTTAGATTTGGAGATTGTCCAAGATTCATTCACATATAGAAGAGAAAGCTCTCTGCCACATATATGCAATCAAGGGAGAAAAAGGATTATATTCTAAATAAGGTTTGTATAACAAACATTTCCATTTGTTTCACAGAGATCAAATGTAACTACTTAAAACTAATCAAATGACATTTAAGCATCTGACAAAAGAAAGCATATTTATGGGAAATGATTCATGAGAGCTGTTTTTTATGCTCAAGAATAAGTAATGGGATACTAAATATGATGATGTACATTGACAATTACTCACATTTTCATAGAGAGCTTGCAGGGTTTCCAGGTCAACCACAGAATTGTCCAAGTTCACAACAGCTGTGTAAAAACAACACAAGAAGAATATAAACTGCAGTAAAACCAGTTGTGAAGATGTTTCACCAATTCAAACAATACTGACCACCTGAGAACAGTACTGATGACCCCCGTAGTCAGAGGGCACAGAGGACTTCTAGACTCAGTGTCTCTGCTTGGCTCAAAACAGGGACCATGCCTTGAGAATTTCAGTGGGAAAGGTGTCAAGCTTTTGTTTCCATTACAAATAAAAAAGAATAGAAAAACACAAATAGTTATAGAAATGGAAATGAAAGAGGCTAAAGTATTTTTTAAATGCTGCAGAAATGCAAAGGATCATAAGAACTTACTATAAACATCTTTGTACAAACTGTACAGCCTAAAAGAAATGGGCACAATTCTTAGATTCATACTGAAACAGGTCAAAATAGATATTCTTAAAAATCCAATCAAAATGCAGAAATTTAAAAAGTAATAAAAAAAAAACCTTAAGAACAAAAACCAAGAAATAGATGGTTTCTTCACAGTATTCTTCCAAATCATGAGAGAGGAGCTAATATCCACCCTAATCAAATTCATCAAAACACTCAAGAGGAATGGAAAGCTCCTAACATATTAAGGAGGCCAACATTATCCTAATCCCAAAACCATAGAAGGAAATCACACAAAAAGAAAAACATAGTCCAACATTACTGATGAACATCGAAAAATCTTCAACAAAATCCTAGCAAACAAAATAGAGCAACCAAGTAAGATAACCATCCATCGTGATCAAGTAATAGGTTTCATCCCAGGGATGTTGCGAGGCTGTTCCAAAGTAAGAAAACCAATCAATGCCATTCACCAAATCAACAAAAAGAAAGTTAAAAACCACAATAGATACTGAAAAAGTATTTAGCAAGACTCAACATCAATTCAGGATTTAAAAAAATCTCTCAATAAAATGGGAGAAAAAAGAACTTATTATAAGTTAATAAATTATTATAAGAATAAACCAAACATTATTACTTAATGTATAGATTCAATGTAATACATATCAAAATATGATGACTTTTTCAAGGAAATAAAACAATTATATGATTTGTGCAGAAATACCAAAAAACCCTGAATATATAAAATGATCCTCAAGAAAAAAAAGAAGGTAAAGATACCACTCACCCTGACTTTAAACTCTACTATACGGCAACAGTAACCAGAGCAGTACAGTATAGGTATAAAAACAATCAAATAGAATAGAAAGCCCAGAGATAAATCCACACAAATATGAGATCAACGTTTGACAAAGGTGCCATGACCATATAGGAAAAAGGAAAGCCTCTTTAACAAATGGTGTCTGTAAGCATGTATAGTCTAGTGCAAGAAAGAGAAACTAGGTCCATTTTAACTCCATAAAATAAAAATTAATTTAAAGTGGATTACAGAGTTGGAGACAAGAATTCAAACCATAAAATACTTAAAAGAAACATCTACCACAAAGATGTATTTGGGGATTCAACTCCAAAGACAAGAGAAAGAAAAGCAAGATAAACAAGTGGGGCTACTCGAAACTAAAAAGCTTTGTACCTCAAAGAAATGACCACAAAAACAAGATAACCTACAGACTTAGAGAAGAGACATGCACATAAAACATCTGATATGGGGTTAATTACAAAATATATAAGGGACTTGCACAATCCAACATTTAAAAAAAAAAGACAACCCACTAAAAATGGAAAAAGAACATTTTTCTAAAGAAAATGTTCAAATGGCTTAAGGCACATGATAAATTACTCTGCATCATTTAATGTCAGGGAAATGCAAGTCAGTACACACGAAGCATCACTTCACCTTGGTGAGAATGCCCTGTGTCAACAAGAACTGAAGCCAGTGTGGGTGAGGATGTGAAGGAAAAGGGGCGCTCGGCCACTGTTGGTGGGAACGCAAACTGGTGCAGCCTCTATCAAAAACAGGATGGAGGTGCCTTACTAAACTAAAAATGGGGCTATCACATGATTCCACAATACCTCTGCTTGGTATTTCTTGAAGAATATAACACAGTAACATGAAAGGAATTATGTACTGCTCCGTTCAGAGTAGCACACGCCATAATCGCTACGGTATGGAATCAACCTAAGCGGCCTATGACAGACGGCTGGATACTGACATTGTGGAATATACACTCAATAAAATACTACTCGGCTTTTTTTATTTTAAGATTTATTTATTTCTGCATACAGAACTGGGGTACAGGCCAGAGGTGCAGGGGCAGTGGGAAGCTTCACCAGAGACAGAGCGGGGAGCAGAACAGGCAGATGGATGACGCACACTGCTGAGGGGAGCAGCGGGCGGGTCAGGAGAGGTCTGCCGCGCCCTGTGGCCACCTCAGGCCGGGGGATCGAACTCGCACTGAAGCGGCTACAGCTCGCTTGCAGTTTTGTGTCCTAACCCGCTGAGCCATGAGGAAGGGCCAAAATACTACTCAGCTTTTTATTTATTTATTTATTTTTTAATGAAATAGTGCCTTTGCAGACAAAATGGATAGACCTTCGGATGATTATGATAAGTGAAGTATGAGAAAGTAAAAGATATTGGAGGTTTTACTTTGGAATATAAATAATAATTATATATATATATACACTTGCAAAACACAGCAAATGCAATTCCTAGAACTAGCTAAAATACAGTGGTGCCCAGCGGGAAGGAGGGGGAGACAGGAAAGAGGGGGACAGGGAAGTGACACTGTAGGAAGCGCACAGAGACAGAAAACAGACCTCCAAAGTTGCAGGAACGCGGCCACTTGCCAAATAAGCTGCACATTTTCACTGCTGCCTTTAAATAACCAATCAGTGGCCGTGTGTCAGTGACCCCTCCAGGCCAAATGGATGTGCATATACTTTTAAGCCTAAAATCTTACAAAATACCAATGACATGATAGAGGCAGAACTTAGTATCCCTTTGGCTTTTCTATAAACCAGCCGTGTGGCTTCGATGGAGACACTGAACTTCTCTGAAACTGTATCTGGTGGGATAATCGTTACCTGTAGCGTAAGTTGAACACGTAGAGAAAACCAGTAGTTTTACATTAAGAAGGGTAAGTTGGAAAATTGTAAAATTATTTATTATCTTGAATTCACTGTTGGAACCCTAGAAATATAGCTAGGAATTTGCTATATTAGATTCGGTTTGGGATCAATCATTTACTTTCAGTAATTAAACTGATTAAAAGTTAATGTGTTAAGTTACACTTACTCCAAATTTGATTGATGTTTAGATCTGAAGTCCCCTAGCTGGGCAGCCTTAACGCTACTTATGAGGGCCCCTTCTTTCCATCAGCACTGAACACTTACCTGGTCACTGTGGTCACCATGGTTAACCCCTCCCCTCCCATGCAATTGATTAAATTAGAGATGGACACACCTACCAGTAGAAACCATCACGGTGTTTAGTGCTGAATATGTTAATATTACCGCCAGGCCACCACATACAGGGCAGGTGCACTATCAATTCTGGCAGAAAAAGAGAGTCCCAGAGTCCTCAGTGCATTTTTCAGGCATCAGTGTCTCTCGGGAACCAGGCACACAGGCAGGAAGGCTGGCATGCAAGGTGGTGGGCACAGGACAGGCTGGGGGTGCCGGAAGGCAGGCAGGCAACCTAGTCTCCCAGGATCACGCTCTTTCTCTAGCTCTCCTGGGCTCTCTCGTCTGGTGGCGGCTCTGCAGTCACACCTCTAGTGTTCCTATCCCTGCCTCGGCTCAGGTGTGCACACACCCAAGTTCCAGGTGCCCACCATGAGGCCTGCGTGCCCCATGGCCACACTCCCAAGCTCCTTCTGCATTAACACAATCAAGGCCACAGGTGAAAGTCACACACAGAGGCCAGTGTCCTAAAGAGCCTGGTTAATTCATTTACCCTACAATGACCTATTTCTGCTTAGCAAATTATACTAAAACATACAGGCTTAAAACAACAAATATAAATATCTCACCACCTCGGCAGTTCAGAAATCCAGGTGCTGCTAGATGCGTTGGCCTCAAGGTTTCTCCTGCGAGCCCAATTATGGTGGTGACTGGGCTGAGATTTCATGTGACACCCACGTGGCTGTTAGTGGGATTCAATCCCCAGAGAGAGGGCTGTGCTTCTTTCATTTCTGATTCTATTCCTTTGAGTTTTCTCCCTTTTTTCTTTGTATGTATAGCAAGAGCTAGTTCTATTTAGCTAATTTTTTTTTTCAAAGAATCAGTTTTTGGTTTCATTAATCACTTGGGCTACCTTTTTAATTCAATTTCATGTATTTTGCTGTTATAAAACTTAACAGTGTAATGCTGAAGAATACTTATGTAGGTCGATGAGGAAATACAAGCATGGAGAAAACAAACTGAGAATATCAGTGAAGGTAAAAGGATTTTAAAACGCATGTGATCTATAGTATGTAAAATTAAAGAAGTTTAAAAATTCTAAAATATTTGAGTTTATTAGAAAGCAAATAAAAGATATAGGGGCTAGCTGAGGCGAAAATATCATTCATGCTTCTCTCGAACTTATTCCTGCCCCTCACTCCTAATTGAAAAGATGGCTCTTGTTCAAAATTATTGTCAATTGTAGAAAGAATATCTGACTGAAAAATGATTGAAAATGAAGGCGGGTTGGCACTGATGATTCAAGGACTAAAAGACATTAAAGGGCTAATGTGTTGTGTTTTGTTTTTAATGACTTTTAAATAATTTCCTCATGTGGAAAAATAGCTGCTATAGCTCCAGCCATCACTTTCATATTCCAGGCAAAATGAAGAAGGAAAAAGCAGAGTGAAAGGAAAGTACGTGCGACAACTGTTAATTATGAAATTTCAGCAGACTTCTCTTCTCATTGATCAGAGTAGTTCCCCATGGTCACCTTGAAAGTTGAAAAGTATATATAATGCAGGCTGCTTAAGAGAAAAAGCAATATCAAACTCCAACCTAAGGAATCCCTGAAAGGCTCTTTAAGTACCATGCTTCACGATGACCTGTCTGACTTCTTCATTCCTGTAACATAATACAAGTCACCTGGTAGTTTTCAGATATTTCTTCTTTACATATAAGATTGTGGTCTGACTGTAAGAACACTTTAAAGAACCTCATAGCAAAGATCTTGTTTTAGATAGCATCAGTTCCTACCAGACTGTTCTTTAAAGGCAGACATATTTTAAAAGTTAAAGTGTGAAAAACAAGTCTGAGAATTTTTTTCAATACTCTCAGAATGAAGCCGTAATAGTTAACCTTACAATAAAAGCTACACATTTGTGTTCTTGTTCCCTTATATCTATGAAAGCAATGCCTGAGAAAACAAAAACCAAGTGTATTTAAGGCCAGCAACATTCGCTACATAGGTTATAATGAACATAAACATCTTTTAATAGTGACATAAAAAGATGTCTGTAGAAAAGCAGGTCCCCTCTCCTCCATCGCATCTGTAATCTGGGGTCGATGCAAACTTTTTTACTCAGGAAGGGTTACCAATACTTCCTTAGTTACTGATTAAGGAAGATATAGAAAAAAGAAGAAAAGAGAAGGGGGGGAAATGCCTAGAATTAGTGTCCCTAAATTTTTCTTTGAAACTTAATCAAGCATAGAAACCTTTGCAGAGGCCATGGCATTGTGCAATTTGTTGGAAATGCAGTCAAATATGACACAAACCATCTGTTTATAAGGAAATACTGCACATTCAGGCCCACCTGAAAATCTGCACACCTGGGGAGTTAATTCAAAAATGTCAAATGTATTACTTAACAAAACTTTTCCTAAAGATGCAGGGTTTTGCAGGGTTTCGTGATCTATTTTGTCCATCTAACCACTCACTAAAACTAACATTTCTCAGAAAGAGGAAGAGGTGTAAGCAACTACATTCATCTGATCATTTCACGCTCGATGAGATGAAAGACAACACGGTGTTTGCATTCCTTACACATCCTGCCACAAAACATGCCTGAGCATGAGTCAGAGTGCGGCACAGTCACATCCACAGTGTAGGAAACGACACAGCACCGGCGGCGCTGCATTCCTGGCACATACGCAAAAAACACAAGTTCCAAATAATATTTGAAGTGATGCTGTACTATCTGAAGACCCTGACAGCTTCGAGGGAAGCTCTATTGAGAGCATTCTTTCTTCCAAAACAAGACTTCCAAATTTCACGAAGGCTCCCATTCCAGGCCTGAGAACATGAACATATTCATTAAGAAATTCCAACTGACCAAATAATAATTCAAAAGTCCTGATTTCACAAAATTACTTAGAAACCTAAAACTTACGCGATTTCCAACAGATAGGATTTTTTAATTGAGCGATTGTCGTGTGTGTGGATCTCCCCCAGTGATGTGATGTTACTGTCCCACGGCCCCGCGACGATGCCCACAGTCCTTCCTCGCGGCCCACTGTGTTACTGCCCTGCACGGTTCTCTCCCTGATCCCCTTCACGTCTGGCTGCCTCAGTCTGCAATCAGCTTTCTAGATTTAGTTTGGCTTGATCTGACCCTTTACTTGTCTATACTCCACATATAATTTTCAGCATCTTTTTTCTGCTTCTGACTTATTTCTCTTGATATAATCACTTCCAGCACATGGTACACTAGTTTCTGTGTACAATAAATCATATTTTGTCACTTGTTCAATAATGGTTTTCTTTTACCTCTTTTGGTGTCTGCATTTGTTGTAAGGATTTGTTAAATGTCATTGTCCAGAGGAATGAGGGATCAGTTAAATACAGGGAGGTGTTTTCAAGTATTAAGATTTTGCTGATGTGGGGAGGAGGAGGAAGAGGATCAGACCCAGGAAGAGCAGAGAGGAAGGTGAGGATGGTACAGGGGGGACCTGGTGGTGGAAATTCTATGGGGCCTACATCTGGGAAAAGAAAGCAAGCACTGCTTAACAGTAAACAATGATGTAAAATATATAGAGATTAAAAAATTGAGACAATGAGAAAAGAAAAAGATTTAGCTGATGTGATTTTTAATGACAAATGATACTACATTTCCAGACTTCAAAGTATGCTATAAAGGGGCCCTCCCTGGTGGCGCAGCGGGTTAGAGCACAGCACTGAGAAGCTAAAGCCGCTTCCGCATGAGTTCGATCCCCGCCTGCCCCGGAGGTGACCACAGGGCGCGGCAGACCTCTCCTGACCTGCCCACTCTCCCCTCAGCAGTGTGCTTCACTGATCTGCCTGTTCTGCTCCTCGCTCTGTCCCTGGTGAATCCTCTCACCCTCCACATCTCCGGTCTGTACCCCAGTTCTGTATGCATAAATAAATAAATCTTTAAAAAAAAAGTACACTATAAAGTCAAAATCAAAGCAACATAGTATTGGAACATACAGACACACACTGAGGAAGAGGAACTGAGAGCCCAGGAATAAGCCCACATCTTATGGACACTAATCTATGACAAAGGAGTAAAGTATATACCTAGCACAAGGAAAGCCCCTTTAATAAATGGTGGTGAGAAAACTGGAAGTAAATATCTCAGAGTTTAGTTACACAACATCATGGAATTACTTCTCATGAATTAAAGATTGTTCTTACTGATGTAAGCGAAATATGTCACAAGAGAATGAAGTTCCTAGCAAGATATGAATATAACAGAAAAGACAGAAAAAAAAGACAGAAAAATGTATAGCAATTCTTCCAGAAAAAAATCATGGGAGAAAGTCTGGTATTACCTGAAGGAAATATACTAACCTTAATAAATACAGAAATCTATGTTTGAAATCATTTTACTACCAAACACACCCTCCAACCTAAATTTGAGTTTTCCAAAAAAAATTACTAATTTTATACTTACCATGTTGTATATCTTTCATATCTAAATGAAGACTGGACATCAATATTCCAACTGCTTGTGATCTTTTGTTGCTTAATAACTTGACAACCTGCTCAAGAAATAAAGGAAAAGGGGAAATACTAATTTGCACTTCAGTGACAAAGCTTAAAAATTTTATTTTTCAATCCTTAGTGAAAAACAAATAATCTAGGCATTATTTAAAGTATTAGAAGCTTATTTGAAAAGAGATTTGGGTTTTATAGCATACATCTTCAAAACACACATATTTCCCCCAATATTTAATATCAGCCTCAATGCCATTCCCCTATTCTTAGTCTTTCAAGAGTCAGATATATCAAAAAGTAAAACATCTTTTGGGAACTCAACTTTACCTACATAATATAATTATCACAGATTGGTAATTTACAGCTGAAGTTTAACAAATGTTCCCTTTTTAATACAAATCCTTAAAACATTGGTCAAGAGAAGGGCAAAATAAAAATTCATGCACAGAATGTATTAGACCAGACCACTCTGATCACAGAATAGGAAATGTACTTTTATTCAGATATTTTTACTTATTTAATCTACATTTTGCTGTTGTTCTGCGGGGACAGCAAAGCAGAACCTTCGGTCTGTGGTTACTTTTCCCACAACCCTCACTCACAGACCCTGTCACGTTCCCCTACGCCCTCTGAAGTGCAGGACACGTGGATGCTCGTGTTGATGGCTTCACGTCTGTGGCTGCATGCCCGAGTGTGGGAATGCTGAGTCCTATTATTTCCATTTGTAGTGTTTAAAGGTAAATTCAGATTTCTTTCTATAATGATTGCACCGGTTTACATTCCCAAAAACATCTTTTTTCTTCTGCATCCTCTCCAACACTGTTGCTGGAGGTCTTTTTAACGTGACATTCTCAAGGTGGGATATGGAGTGTCATTACGGTTTTAACCTAAAACTTTTTTTCTGGAAACAACGAACACTTTTTCATATGTCTGTTGGTCTTCTGGATATCTTCACTGATGACCTGTCTATTCATCAAATGCTGTCAATTGAGCTGTCAATTGAGCTGTTTTATGTCTTATTTTTGAATTGTGTATGTATTTTATACATCTTAATCCCTCACCAGTTATATAGTGCGTAAATATATGCTTCCATTCAATAAGGGTCATTTTAATCATTTTATATTTTCTTCTGCTGTATAATACTTTTGAGATAATCTCAGCTGCTTTTGGTTTTTTTATTTCCTTTTACAGGAGTCTAATAACAAAAAAATGTTGATGTCATAGAATGTAGCCTGAGTGCTTTCTCCTATGTATTTTACTGTGCAGGTCTTACATCTAAACCTCTAACCCATTTTGAGTTTATTTTTGGAGTTAGCAAGTGATTCAGAGTTATCCTTTTCTGTGTGTTTTTCCAATTTTCCCACCACTATTCCCTATTGTATGGTCATAGCTGCTTTATCACACGTATCTTAGGGACTGGTATATGGATTTATTTCTGGGCTTTTGATTCTATTCTCTCTCTCCCTCTACTGCTGTGCCAATACCATGTTGTTTTTAGTCCTGCTGCTTCTCATAAAGTTTGAGGACAAGGAATGTGCTACCTCCATTTCTCTCCTTTATCCTGGGGTTTCTTTTGTAATACTAAGCCATTTTTGGTTCCAAATAAGTTTAATATTTTTGTTCAATTTATTTGAAAAATATTGCTGGCGCTTTGATGGGGATCACATTAAATTTACTTACCATTTTAGACAAAACAGTTATTTTGCTTACATTGATTTTCTCCATCCATTAACACAGGATATCCGGTTCCCTCTGCCACTAAGTCCTTTAATAACATTTTTCCAGTATCACTACATAGGTCTCTTACCTCCATCGTTAGGCTAATTCCAAGGTACTGAATTATTTTGAAATAATTATAAGTGGAGTTTATCCCTTCATGTCTTTTGTTTCTGATTCATTGTTTGCATAGAAAGAGGATGAGTTTTGTATATTGGTTTTATAAGCTGCCATACTGCTATATTTGTCTGTTATTTCTCATAGCTTGTTGATGGAGTCTTTGGGGCTACATACATAATATCATAGCCTCTGCAAACAGTGATCATTTCACTTCCCTTTGCACTTAAATTTCCCCTTTTTGGTAACAATTCTAAAAGAGTATCAGGCCCTATGAGCACCAAAGAGTCACTCCAAGTAAATGCTGGAATTCAAGCATCCTGCTGTGCTGTAAGAACCTGTTGTAAGCTGACCACTAGGTCAGCTTCTCTGGATTAGCGTCTTTTCTAGTCTTATTTCCACTTCCACTCTGGGCTATTTTTAAACACGAGATGAAGCACTGAGCAAAACTGTAGTTGACCTGAGACCACAGACCAGAAGTCAGTCTCTTTTCTTTTCCAGTACAGAGTCTCATCCTGGGGCTGTTTCCCTGTTATCAGCTTAAGTGCTGACTTACTCATGTTCCTCTGATAAGGGAGAGCGTGAGAGAGGGGGGAGGAGAGCGAGAGAGCGGAGCCCTGAGACGGCAGGCTGGGAGGACCTTGCTCCAGAGCCTCCCGGCCCGGCTGCCCTGCTGTACCTGGTCCCCGCTTCAGCATTTAAAGGCCTGTAGCACCTAGCAAGGACTCCAAGATTCCTTTATCCAGCTGCCTGAGTCAACAACCAACCCACCCTGGACATGTCTGCAACACAGCTCACCGTTTTAGGGACAGCCTGTCTCAGCTTGCATTTTGTCCACATTTTCTAGGGAACTTCCAACTAATTCACAAGGGCTCCAGAACAAAATGTAAAGGGCTGCGTCAGCGTCAGCTCTATCTAAACGTGACATTCCAGAGAGTCTTGAAGAGTCAGCGCACACACCCCATGAGATTTCCTAAATTAACATGCTTTGGATAAATCTTATTTATGACAGTTACCTCAGGTCTCAATACTGTGGGTGGCAGCAATTTCTGTTTACTCTCTGCATTTTAATATAAACCTGCTACTCAAAAGAAAAAACAAATGGTCAAATTCCAGAAGGACAGCTCCCCTAACAGCTACTGTATTTGTCGACTTCCTTTTCTTTTTTGTTCTAAGTTGGGTCAGTCAGGAAACTAATAAAATAATTCTGTCATTTAAAGTCATAGAGCCAAACAATATTCTTAATAGCAAAAATATGATTTTTGTTCCTCAGAAAGAGTGGACCAGAGATTAAAACACTTTTAAAAGGACTGATGACAAAACCTCTACCATCATTTCTAAAATCTCCTGTGACAATAGCCCACAGAGGTGTTGCTTCCACAAGATACTAATTTGGTTCTCAGTTGGCTATTTAAACATTTTGCTGCATTTCAGCGAGAACATAAAGAGCTTTAAGCTTGAATGTGATTCGGATGTACACAATGAGTATTTCTATCAATATGTTACAACCTGTTACAAAAAGTATGAACGATATCAAAGAAGCGAAGGCATATACTCAGTTCTTAAAAAAAAAGTGTCTAGCTTCGGCAAATGCAATTCATGCAACTCTGACAAAACTGCTTTTACCAAGGTGTCCTCTCATCTTCTGCTTCCTATATGCAATGGGCACATTTGAGCCCACCGTCTCCTGACCTTGTGTCAGTGCTGACATGTTGAACATATCCTTGTAGAAACTACTCCAGGGCACCTGCCAGCCACTCTCACTCCTTAAAATAGATGATCCTGATTTCACCTCACACACTGTCACAGTCCAGGATTTTATTCTCAGCACCTTACTGTCTTCACTTTATGACCTATGCATATATTTTCTCCTTTATAGACACACACCCCAGCTCCTGTAACTGTATTCTTGTAGCTATAGCAGGATCCTTAGTGGTGTCCTCCTTTCCTGAGACCTCCACTTATATTACCCAGGTAAATTTCGATTTGCGATGTCTCAAACCAAGCTTGCATAGATCAGTGCAAAGATTGCTAACTAGCTCCCAAATTCCAAGGGTTATCAAGTGTGTTTCCTGAACCAGCAGAGGCATCACCACCCAGGAACTAATTGAGGTTTCACTTATAGGAAGGAAGAAACAAAAATAGACAACTATAAATCAGAGACATTATGCAGAGGAGGGGGAGGAAGAGAGATCAGATAAGGGCAGGAAGAGCACAGGGGACTATGGTGATGGTGCACAGGTGATTTGGTGGCGGGAACTTTCTGGGGACTACACACCTAAGAGGAGAAAACATGCATTGCACAGAACGGGAGAATGATGTAAAACATATATAAACAAATAAATTATATTAAAATAAAAGATCCCACACACCACAAAATAAAACAAAATGAAAGTGGAAGATTTTGGATCCTATCAAAAACTACTAGTCACACAATCTGAGCATAGAAAGCATGTATTTATACTTTTAAAATTCTCCCAGATGATTCTAGAATTACTGGTGAGTTTCATTTCTTCCTGTCCATTTTCCAAATTGATACTCCATCCCAAAAAAAATGCCAATGCCAATACTGATATAACACACTTTTGCTTTTTGACTTGAGGATTGATATTTAATGGGTGATATTTCAGTAGGTCACCTAGCTTGTTTCACATTTTGTATTACAATTCCTTTTTCTATAATAATTCAAAGGAACTTGATTACAAATTGCATTTTACATTGAAGGGCCTATGATTGTATGTAGGAATAATGATTATCAATCACCTTCCAAAAGGCATACAAGCAGGAGATGGCATATGTCTAAAAGTATTGACTCCATAGTTCCTTAGAGGAATTCAATCTTTATATTAGGAACCACAGTTATAATTTATCTTTAAACATGCTGGATAACCAGTAACTGAACTATCAAGCTAAAACAGTCTTAGAATTCAGTGACCATCAATACAATGGAAAAGAGTTGATGCTTAGATGATGTCAGAAACACAAAATACATGAATTAGAACAGATAACCAAACAAAGACCTGAATTCGCATCAGATTCAATTAATACTATTTTCTATTAGACTTCCCGGAGAGGCAGAACTGTTCAGAGATTATAAACCTGGACTCTAAAGGAAAGCAGTAGTTCTGATTCCTGTGTCTAATACGTTCTGTGCCAGTACTTTTAGTCCATTGATCCCAACTGGCTACGTTTCTTGGATTCACTTTCTGTG